ATTAAATTAAATATAAATTAAAATTTAATTTTAATTAAATTTAATCTAATAAAATATAATTTTATTTTATTTTTAATTAAATTTAATTAAAAAATATATAAATTAACCTTTTATTATTTTTGCGGGTAAAAATCGACTAATATACTATCTGTATCTAACCACGTGTATTAAAATATTCATTACTAATAAATATTTATTACTAATTATTCGCAAATAATAAATATTCACGTACAGTAATTACTCGAGCAAATTTTACTCGCTGTGGATTTTTTTCCATCCGGAATAATAATATATCCTTAAATAGTTAAAAAATGCATTAACGTTGACATTAAAAAAACGTTTTTCTTTTTAATTTAAGAAACGAAGAGGGAAGAGGGAAGAGAGGGCTATGCACTCGATATTCAATCGAAAGGACAGACAAAGACAAAAGTACCTTGGAAGAACATGATCACCATGTGGTCATACTACACCTTTACACCCTATCACTTTTAAACATATTGTATAAAAAATTTAGAATACCAACTGATATATCTTGTATGTGCCAGCTGATGAATGAAGCAATAAAAGAAAAGAATCAATCACTTCAGCACCTTCCACTTTTTGCTTGAAAGATATTAACTTTATGAGTCTTTTCGCTTGGCTTTTGATTCTACCTTATCAGGTATGCACGATGACCAAAAAGTTGGCACCATAGTGCATGCAGCTTGTATCAGAAGTGCATGTGGAAAGCCTGAAAAGTCACTTCCAGTTATCTTAATATACGATGCAAGTGCAACACCAAGGTATCCACTCACAATGAATGCCAGTGCTATGGAAGACATAAGAAAGGCCATTATAGACCCCTCACATCCTGGTGGACACATCTGTGCTATTAGAACACTGAATGGGAGAATCTTGAAGAAAAACAGAACCTCCAAGAATCCTGAGAAAATCACCACGTAGACTGAGTCTGGCACACCCATTTGACGATAAAAGCCTCGCACAAACAAGAAATCTGAAATCATGAAGAATGCCATCGTAGCTTGAATGGCTGATATCAGTTTTCTTGGTGGGACAGATTTGAAGTATTGGTTGTATATGATTCCCCATAGGAGCATTGTTGCCTGGCCAAACACCTTGGAGATACCCAATACTGATGAGTTTATTTTCAAATGTTGTGTCTGGTAAAAGAACATGGTGCCTGTAAGGGCAGGAATAATGGCATAAGATGCTGTAAACCATGATATTGAGTATGCAATTTCAGGCTTTCTTAGAGCAACCAATAGCTGTGAAAGTTGATTTCTTATCCCAATAGATGGACTCTTTGGAAGCCCAAGAGAACTCTCAGGAACTGAAATGGTTATGAAAAATTGGAGAGCAAGGAGGAGACCGAAGTATAGAAACATGGTTTGTGGTTGGAACCGTCCAATAAAAAGGCCGCCTAGAAGATTACCAAGAACTCCTCCTGCAGAGCCAACTATCCAAACAAAGGATTGGAGGTTGCCTGAGGAGGATGGTTGCCGGTGCTTGGTTGAGGAAGGACTCTGTTTAGCCATCTCTGCAACAATGGCATCATTTGCAACCTCAGCTATCGAAGCACCTAGGTTACTAAGGAGGAGGTATATGGAGATAGTGAAAATAGAAATGTTTGATGGAGAGATTGCTATGATTATCCATGACAGTGCCTGCAAGAAAGCTGCATAAACAGATTCAGAGAAATATTTTAGGAACTAGTTATATCATTGGTAGAAATTAGAAATGCCATAAAACTACAAACATTAGTAACATGGACCGACTATCCCAAAAGCTTAACCTCATAGTTCAAGACAAATGAATGGTTTTATATTGTGTCTCTAACATGCCCTTCATACATGAGCCCTACAGACTCTAACCATGAATTATGAACAAGCTCACCTGACTTCTGCTAGAATTCAACTTTTTATCAGAAGAGAATGGGGAGAGGCAAGGAGTGAATTCTCTTAGAATCTACACAATTTGGTCTAGAGGATCCAATGCCATGTCATAAAACAATTATCCCAAAAGCTTTAGTTATCAAGTGAAAACAAGAGAATGGTTTTACATTATATCTCCAACAAAACTCTAGCTGATGAATTTTCCTCCATGATATCAAAATCCAAGAATCAGGGTGGTTGCAAAACACATAAAAATGCCACAAAAAGTTGTTCTAACGGATGAGAACTTAAATGGAGAAACTTTGATACTGATTCCAATTTTAGCAACCAAGAAACTATGGATGAATTTCCACCGATAAAAAGAGGGGAAATTCCTGAAAAGTCTGGCCAGACAACATATCAGACCCAGATGTCACTATTGATGCTAATTGTTAAGTCATTAATCAAATCATACAACTGGTTAACTATTTGCCCCTATATGATAGAGACTCATTGCTTAAATTGAAATGGTTGATATTGCTGAGCAGATGGCTCAATTTTGAATCCTTGAAGGTTAAATTACATACACTCAACAACCACCAACAATATCTGGGGAGGGGAATGTTCTTTGGCATTTAGCTACTCATTAATATCAAAAGAATTCAAAGAATCTAGATTCAGACTTAAGATAATATATCAAATAAGTCCCAACAAAAGCAAAAAAGTAAGATACAAAAACTCTATCTGGTTTTTTCTTTCAAGTTCAGAATCTCGATCCTACTCTTTCTTTATGCTTTTTCCCATTAAAGCAACTTCACACCGAATGGACAGATTCTTTTATTCATAGTTATACACAAATAATCAATTCATCCATCCACCTATTCTTTTATCTATTCCAAAGCAGAATAAGAAGGAACACAACAGAACCAATTCTCAATTCCCAACACCCAACAGCAAGGAACCAACAACTATCCATTGACAGCAGTAAAAGTATGCAACTTGGCTTTAACATGAACAAATCAGAGAGAGAAGGCAAAAGGGTATAGAGAAATGAAAAGAGTGAAGACAACTTTACCTCCAAAGGCGATGTAGGGAACTCGGTGCTGGCCAGAGATGTAAACAGAGTCTGAAACGAGGCCATAGAGGGGCTTCCCAACCATGGGAAGATTAGCAGAATTCTGGAGAATTTGAAGAGTGGAAGGGTCCACATTAAGACCATCTTTGAGGTAGAAACTCACAACCAACCATGGAAAACACCTGAATCCTTGCACCCAGTATCCCAAACCCAGAACCTTCCTCAATTTCCCACCATCGCCACCGTCTGAAGTTACCATTTTTATTTCACTTTCGTAACCCTTAAGGAAAAGAGTTATCGAGAGAGAGAGAGAGAAGTGTTTAAGACTAAATAGAGATTTAACTTTATCTAAGGATTTGTTGTTTCAAAGAGGTTTGAGCTTTTTAAGGAAATGCATTCAGGTGCTGTTATGTTTTATGGAGGAACACCACTGAGTGGGGACACATTCATTCATAAACTGACATATGTTACTGTCATTGAACTATAACGTTTTCTAAACAAGTGACACCTGTTCCCACCTTTCTGTTTCTTGCATCTTTAACTTCTCTTTTTAGTAATTTAATATTTACTTTTCCTAGTTTTTCTTTTTTCAAGTAACAATTCTTTCATATTTACATTCTCCAGAATACTCCTGCAGTAGATCTGATATGGGTCCTTTTTTTTTTTCATTTTTGGTATTCGTAGACAAGAAAAAAGGGCATGGGACCATACCTGTGAACGTGGCAATCCTAAGTTCTAACAATGTTTTAGACAAAAATTAACATTTTTGTGAACGTTGTTAGAAAATCATATAAAATTATTTTTTATTTGTGTATAAGGAATAAATCATAATTTATGTGGTAATAAAACAAACAGCGATATTGAAAACGTCCCACTAAAACGGAAAGTTAGAGGACAGTTTAGTTTCTTATACTAATTGTGTGGATGTCACTGTCAAAATTATTAAATTAGTATAATATGTGTAGTTGTTAAAACATACTATCTAGATCATAAATAAATTGATAAATAAAATTTTGATAAATTTACGTTATATGTATTTGATAAAGTAGAAGTTTTAATAATTTTTAGCTTATTTAATTTATTTATATTTATATTTCTAAATAATCTACATAGACGAAATTTATACCATCTTTTGCTATGTCTTTATACTTGTTTAATAATGTTAAATTAGTTTATTTTGTTTTAATTTATCAAGTTATTGTTTTTATTAAAAAGTAATAACTATTTTAAATTATAAAAGAATATTTTTACATAAAAATTCCATAGTTTATTTATTGTTTTAAAACTTTTAGTTGGTCAATTAATCTTATCAAACATTTTTAATTTAGTTTTTTTAACTTTAAACTAAGGATTTAATTTCCAACTGCCTTTTCAACAAATTTTATCAAACATAATCAATATTTTTAAATTGTTTTATTATAAAAATAAGTAATAATTTATTTTTACACTTTTGTTTGTGACATTTTCAAACTGTTGAAATTACTATTAGATTATCTGAAATTATTTCATATTAAATAAAAGAAATCATATATATGAAGAGCAACTATCTTATATTTGTAAAAATTAAAATAAAGGGCACTGTATTGGTAGTTAAAAAAAGGAATACAAATTAATAACATATATAATATTCTCACGACTTCTTTGTCGTCGTCACCAAATCAAGTAATGGTAAAACAAAGCCCTTTTCATGAAAAGTTCCTTTAGGAGAATGAAAATAATTATACGAAAGAACAATGATAAAAAAAAAAAGACTTGTGTACCGTGTTGGACACAAATTTCATGGTCATTCGATATACTAAATAAGAAAGCAAAACATATATTACCTACTCTCAGACTAATCACAATATCTAAGCCAAATGGCCAAGCCATAGCCATACAACTCATCATTCTTTTCCGTATCATATAAGAAGGTTTATAGAACAAGAAACAAGTAAACTAATTGAGTATGAAAAGAGGTATAATGCTTCATATGAGGTTCACCAGGCACCAGTCCAAACAGAATACTAGCAAGTATAGTGTATCAACGACAAGAATCTCAAAGAACTACAAGAAAATTCCATAAAATAATTTTGCCTATGAACCTAGAAACATTTCACTTGGAAGAAAATATGTGAGCAGAGGATAGGCAGACTGTTATAAGTGTCAAACCAACACTGCAGTTACAAGTGATACAGTAATGAACCAGAGAGCCCAACTAACAAAAAATGGTTCAAATAGATTATTCAACAGCTGGTTCTTAATCGTTAAATCTCTTTCGTGCCATTAGAATTTTCTTCTAAAATTCATTCACGGATAACCATGAGATGGGAACTTAAAGACATACATTAAAGAAAATTATGATCTCAACCAAAAATCAAAGTTCTACTCCATAACTGCAACTCCTCCAGCAGCTTTTATTTTTTCTATTATGTCATTTGCCTCCTCTTTTGTGACCCCTTGTTTTAGTACCACTGGAACCTTTTCAACAAGATCTTTGGCCTCTTTCAATCCCAGGCTAGTAAATGCTCTTACCTCCTTAATTACCTTGATCTTTGCGGCAGCATCAAATTTCTCCAACTTCACATCAAAAGCTGTTTTCTCTGCCTTTTTCTCCTCGACCTTTGGTCCAGCTGCACCACCTTCTGAACCCATGTCCAAGCCATCCGTGGAAATTGGCTGCAACTTTGGAAGATTTAATCTTTCTGACAAAGTAGGCATAATTTGACCACGTTCTTCTTCGGATAATTCTCCAATTCGTTCTGCAAGCTGAATGATCTTTTCTGAGGGTGGAGGTCTGGGGCCATAAGGATCATAGAATTGAGGAATTTTGTACTTTCTTGGCTTAGCCAGAGAATCTTTAGGAACCGAATTAGTCTGTAAGGCTCGAGATTGCAAGGGACCACATATATCCCGCTGAGGGAGACGGCAGATTAATCTGGAAAGGGGGATAAACCTCATCTCTTTGTTCAATCAAAATAGTGACACATGAACCCGATATATTGGAAAAGATGCTCTTTCAACAAAGTAGGAGCACCAACCTGTAACAATTTCAAAACTTACTAAGGTTGAGCAGTGAACCACACGACATATAACATATATGATCGCAGATACAACTTCAGGTATTCATACACATTCTCTCCCAGTCACTTCAAACAGAAGAGATCACCATAACATAAAAGAAGGCAGAACATACTACACACGTAAAACATCAACTTCAACACTTCCAATTTAAAAAAAACAACAATGATGTGTGGAACAGCCCATCAATCCAACCAAACAACCTAACAGACCTTTCGCATCTCTCCTCCTATCAATCATATCACCTATGTAGCTGCACTTCTCTCCATTTATCTCTTAAGGTGTCAATTAACATTTGGGTGTCTACTCATCATTTTCCTTTTAAAAACATCCCAAAATAAAAAAAACGAATTTGGAAGTGTTCTAAACTCGAAACAGATATTCCACGAAAATCTATAACCACTCTTGTTAAAATCCAAATCCAAACATCAAATGCCCATCACATATTTTTCTCCCCCAGATACAATATGCATATTTCACAATTCATACAGAACAAGACAGCAACTATAATTGAATCACAACCAGCACGTAACAAAAAAAAAGTAAGCCAACTTAACTTAGAAGTTACCACTGGAATGAAACACAACAACATTTAAAAATAATTAAATTTTACATCCCTGCAATCTTCGATGCAAAAAAAATAGATGGAGCAAGGCCACTAAATCAGGGGATTAATTAAACCAAACCGAGTTTAAAAGTACATTATTTGGAATATTTTCATGGCGCTGAGAAAATGTGCCGAGGAGTTAATAAAAATACTGAGGGTGATTAGCGAATTGAAATGGCGGGTTCTATCTATCAATCCATGAAAACAGAAACTTTTCTTCATTTAAAAAGAATAAAGTACAGAAAGAAAGTATGTGTTACCTTCAGGAAGAAGGTGTTGGACTTGCAATTTTGGCGTACTGTGGTAGCGAGGTGAAAATTGGGGAAGGAAGGAAGAATGAAAACTGCGGGATTAGGGATTGTGGAGCTGTGAACAAAGCAGGCTTTAGAGGTGGGCTTTCAAAGTTGGGCCAGCTTAAGAAAGTCCAACGATCACTTTCTGCACCACCATTCTTCGTCCTACAGCCCCGATTATTCTTAAATAAACTTTGCCCTTTGTAATAGTTAGCAAATAGTACACTTCAAAATACAATACTTCATTTTTTATTTTTTGAATTAAATAATCTGTTAAAAAATCTATCATTCAATTTTGAATCTTCTTGATGAAACTAATTTTTTTATATAAAATTGATAGATATATAGAGAGGAAAAAGTGTAGGAAGAAAACATGTAATGAAAGAAGTAATTAGAAATTCTTAGGAATAAATAATTTCAATTTTTTTAGTAGAAATTTCTATGGATGATATATATTTAGGGGTATAAATCGTCTGAGTGAATTAATTTTACGTAACTAAACCTCCTATATTTTATTAAATAGAATTTTATGGAAACACAAGAATTTTAAGAGTTTTCTTATTCAATGGAGGCAAAAATATCTCCTCTCTTGTGTCTAATAGTTCTAGATGAACAAACAGGCATTTCAAAACTTGCAATGAAAACTAATAAAAATTAAAACCAAACATGTCAGTTTTTCAGAACCAATGGCTGCGTCTTCCCGTCACTCAATCTCTATTCTCCAAGTTGATTCCCAGAACCTATGCAGCAGTGTTATCCACAAGACAATGTCCCGTTTGGTGTCATTCACTGGCTCGTAACACCACTGTGCCCTCTACTCCAGGTTCATCGTTTTCCCTCGCTTTTCTTCTCTTATGATACCCTTTTCCCCCGTTTGTTACTGTTATTAGTTTGAATTTTCTGGGCAGCCAAAGGATTCAGCTTTTTTAAGAGTTTAATATCTATGCTCTGTTGCCTTTAAAAGTTTAACGCTTTCAACGAATCAGAAAATGTTATTTTGACTTTTAAGGTAGTCATTGAAAAGTTTAACAGATTTAAATTCATGACCTTTTGTGATTTGTTTAAGATGTGAAAATAAATAAAACCCTCCTATTAGTGCATAAACTAATTTTTTTTTTATTTTAGAAAAAATATTTATTGAATTTCCCTTATATGATTGTTCGTGTTATTTTTAAGGTGTTGTGGAGCAGGTTGTGGACAATACTTCTGATGCACCTAAAGTGAAAGTATTGAAAGAGAGAATGGAACTTCTGGGCATCAGCTTGGGAAACTCTTGTTTGCCTGGGCAGTACCATAATCTGTTTTGTCCAAAAGTATCTACTTTTATTTTCTTCTAAAACTGCATTTTATTTCCTGCCCCTAGTCTTTTGTATGTATTTGGTTTTAAGTAGGTTTCTGACTTTTGATATTCTAGTGCAAAGGTGGGCAATTAAAGGAGAGGAGTTTGTCTTTTCACATTATCTCGAATGGGTATGCTTCGTGTAATTGCTTTGTGTGTGTGGTGATAATTGCGTGTTTTGATGTAATGTATTTTGGCAAATGTGCGATGTAGCGAATTTGCAATGTGGAGATGTTTTCGATCTAAATGTGGTTGGGCTGGTCAGGTGACATAACATGGATTTATAAATTTACGTCTCCTTTCAAGCATAAAACTTGTAATGAACAATGACATACTGCTTCCGCATGATTATTTGGTTGTAGGTTTTTGCAGATGATCAGGAATTGTACAGTGGGGTTTGTACCACCGCCAAGTTTTCTAGAAAATTAGCGGATGAGAGCTTAGGATTGGAACCACTTGGTCCTAAGGTATAGAACTTGTTTTTAGCATTTTTAGTGGGCAATAGCAGTAGAACAACTGCCAAATTCTCAGAATGATCTATCTCATTTTTCTGGTAATTGTTATGATAAAGGATGTCTTTTATTCAAATGAATTAGTGAAAAATGATTATCCTCTTAAGTGTGCTGGCCTTCTCGTTGTTCTCTGATTCAACATACAAAGTATGCACTCTTAAGGGTATCGAGAGTGGAAATGCGTTATAATTACTATTTTTAGCTGAAATAGACACAGGGCTTGACTTTCTTGTGCTTTTGGCTTTATTCTCCCAATTTTTAAGGCAAAATAACTGAGGAATTACTTGACACTTTGAAATAAGGTTCACCTGGACTTATGCTCAAGTGTTAAATCAATTTCAATAACATATAATTTTTCCCCATGACCCTCAAGCTCTTAGCATAAATATCTGGTCATTTTCCATAACCTGTGGCATGTTAATTAATATCTCAGTATCAAAGGTCCAGTAGAGGTTTAGAAATATGATGTAATGGGTACTAAGTAATATGGCCTTAGAAGCTTCACTATTCAATCATGATTGTGAATCTGGTTGATAATTTTGGAATGGCCAAGTGTGAGCATGCAAAACTACTATTTTGATTGAGTGTTGCCTCTTCAAGATGTTAAAGACTGTTTCATTAGGTGCTTGTGTCAATATATTGCAACCTTTAAGTATTAGTCAGATTATTTGCTTATGTATTGATTTTGTTTTTCCTTGTTTTAGCTTGTTGCGTACTTTAGAGAGAGATTGATATCAGAGAAAACCCTGAGCAGAAATGCTGTTAGGCAACTGTCTGACAATAAGGTATTTCCACAGTTCTGGTTTTGTAATTGTAATATTTGTTCCTTTAAATTGCTAGATAAACGGAATCCAGATCTGTAATTGGTGCTCTGTCCCGTATTGTGCTGGGACTCCTATAGCTGCTTCTTTGATTGATATATACCCTTTCAAAAGGGAAAAAGAATCTTCAGTGATCTTGCCATCTTGAATTCTTGAAATCTGAACTAAAAGACCAATATCATGGATTTTTAACTTAAAGCGGTGATTTTAGATTTTTATATAGTTCTGGCAATGTCATGATGGCTAATTGACGTTTCCTTAATAGCTCTAAAGCTGGAGTTCTAATGGCAAAATTCATTATTCGCAATTGAATTGAATGATTACGGCCATGAATTGATATATTTAAAGTCCGTGTTTGTTTCCAACCGGTCTCAACTACTGCAATTGAACCTTAGTGGGGCAATAGTGGAGGGAAACATAAATCCATTTACATGAACCAGAGTGGTAGTGCGTATATATTCTTTTAGAAGTAAACTTTGCTTTAGTTGTCATGGCTTCAAGATCATCAAAAAAATCTTAGCAATGATCATAATTGTTGTGGTTTCTTCTCTTTGCTGTCTTATAAACATTTCTATACGTGCTTTAGTTCTTAAGAACTTAACTAGTTAGAAGTTCTAAACTTCGTTGTGTACTACAAATTTTGTGCAGGCAGTCATTGCTTTTACTTATAAACAAAATGGGTTGCTTGTTGGTTGCAAATACAGAGCACTGGAGAAAAGATTTTGGCTGGTAACTTTTCCAGTTTGCAAATAGTATTCATTACAATGAATGATGTATTTTGAAATGATCAGTAGCGTTTCATGTACAATCAATGAAAGAAAAGGACAACTGTGGTGTTAGAAATGAGAAAAAAAAAGAATGCAGGCAAGGCTACATTTTCTCCTTTCTTGCCTACACTTCCTTTTTGTAGAAAATGCTCGGGGAAAAAATTTACAAATTTGTATCAAAAGGTTCTGTCAAAAATTGAGTATCACTCCTTGATGCTATTTCTTGTTAGGAATTCAAAATGAGTTGGAAATCTCAAATTGGGTAAAAAAAAGTAAGATGAATATATAAGTAGAAGAAGGATCCATAAATCACCTTAAGATTTTGGATTGAAAATGGTGTCTTGATTCATTATATGGGTTTGTTCACGTCTCTTCAATAACTTTTGTTTTGAGAAAATGAATAATACAAAGCTGTAAGCCACAGTATAAGTCGTAACTCCCTTCCTGAAATAAAACAATTTATAATAACTATCCTACAAAAAGAATAAGCGTAAATGGGTACTTTGGTCTGTGAAAGTGTAAACTGCTGCAAATTTAGTCGTTGAAAGAATGATAAATCTAATTTAGTCCCTAAATATGTAAAAGTTCAAATTGGTCCCGAAACATCATAACTTAATGTCAAATTGGTCTTAAAAATAAAATCCAACTGGTTTTTAAAAAATCCGTTCAATACCATGATTATAAAAAATCAATTGGTCATACGAAATACAACTTAGTGTCATGAAAGCTTAACATCATCACAACTTAAAGACAAAATGGTCCCACGAAAGATTAACAACAAAATGTAATTGTTCCACTTTTTAAACATCGAAGGACTAAATAAAAATTTGAGTTGTTTGATGGGTTAATTTGACACCAGTTTATACTCTCAGGAACCAAAACTATCATCTATCCAAAAGAATAATTTAGGCTACTTACAGTGATTACAAACAGAGAATGTGAGACTGCTGTAACAATATTTTTGTCACTAAATTAATCCTTCAAATTAGTCCTTTGGAGATTTTTACTAAATTATTCCATAAAAAGTCTAATATTTATTTCATTTTATTCATTCTCGTAGAAGACTAAGTGGTGACACAGAGGAGTATGGTAACTACTTTTTATCCTTGAGGACTTATGTCATGACAATTTTTTGGGGGTAATTAATGTGGTGATACCCTAGTTTCTAAGGGACTAATTTGTGACAAAGCTTTGGAGGGATAATGTGATGGCACCCTATTCTTTAGAAGACCACGTTGAGGGTTCAAAAATGTTGATATGAAGTTTAATTGATCTAGATACGAAGTAACTTATGTTCATTCAAATGCTCGATTTGATTTTCAGGAAAGAGGCACGGACAAGATACTATATGGAATTGATGACATTAGACAAGTATCTGAAATAATCATTGTAAATTTTTCTCCCTTAATTCTCCATCATAATCTTCTTTTTGTCTGACAATTCCCAACTGAAAGCTGGAAAAGGAAATAATTGAAGATATTCTTACAGTCCAATGATGATGATAGGTTGAAGGGGAAATTGATAAGCTTTCACTTGAGGAGGCTGGCTTTCGGAATTGTGTTAGTGTTCCAGTGGGTGCACCAGTAAAGGTTTCTTCAAAAGATTTGCCACCAATAGAGAAGGTTTGTGTGTGTGGTATTATTAAAATTTGTTTTCACTTCTTTTAAAGCCGAGTGAATA